CCTCTCCCCACCCCCCCCCCCCCGTTCTAAACTCAGAAAACAAAGCCAGAGCTTCCACACTTCCAGGCGGGACTCTCCCGGCCTCCTACCCAAAGGTTTCTGCCCAGAAGCCCAGCATGTTCTCTGCTTCGGTCCCACGATGCCAAATAGCTGGCTCTCCTGGTGTGACTCGGTCCAAGGCCTTTTGCTCCTAGAACCCAGGCTCCTGGCGTGGCCCGCAGACCCTGAAAGCCGAAAGGCATCACCTGTGGGGCCGGAGGACTTGGGCCCCTGCGGCAAGGGACCACCGCCCCACGCACTCTCCAGGGGCAATGGTTATCCAAGCTCAGAATCCACTTCCACCCAAAACAAATTCATCTTGAGTATTGGGATTATGGGATGGCCTCGTCCCCAGAGAAAATCCAGCACTGCTGTGCCAGACGGAGGAAGGGAAAGGGACCCCAAACTCTGGCCAAAACCTGTGTACGTGTCAGGGGACAGGGACCAGAAGCAATTAACTAATGCTTAGGGTGGCTCTCAGCTGGCCGAGTGACCCCAGCAAAGTCACATTTTCAGGAATACAGGGTGGCAGCATAGTGTAGCAGATAAGGCCACGGGCTCAGGAGTCGAATGACGTGGGCTCAAATCTGAGATGTGTGACTTTGTGTCAGTTATTTAACCTCTCTGAGCTGCAGGAAATGGAAAACGAGAATCTTAAAAGTACTTTGAGAAAAAAACATACTGCACAGGGCTATGAAGGTATTAAATATATCAAACAAGGTGATGCGCACAGAGCGTGCGGCAGAGCGTCAGACGCTGTAAGCACTCAGTGTTCATGCTCAGTATACGACCACACCAGCTTTCTCCTTTTCAGGGAGCCTGGAATTCTCTCTGGAGTAGCAGACTTTGTCTCTGAAGCAAGCCGCCGGCCTGGCCCCGCGCCCCTGGGATGGGCAGAAGTGGCCAGAGGAGAGCTCGGAGACAGACCACAGGCCGGACACGTCTTCCTGCAAGGAGGGCAGGGGGAGGAACAAGGGCAGAAGAGAGACGAGAGACTGCCTCCTCTCCCCACCCACGTCGCCCCAGCCCGGCTAAAACCCCAAACAGGCCCCAGTCACACACTGGAACCCCAGACCCAGAGCTGGCTGTGGTGCCAGCCTCACTTGTCCACGGTAATCTGACGGGCCAGGTGGGGCTGGGGGTCTGGAGCCACATACATGGCCTGTGACCTCCTGCTGTGTGGAGCTCTTGAGGTCCCCAAACCTCTGGCTCAATGGAGCCCAGCCCACTGGGGGCCAGGACCCCCTAAGTGGCAGGCAGGTTCTGAAAACGTCCACCCCTCTCCGAGGGTGCGGTCTGGGGGTCGGCAAGGCTTCCTCCCTCGCGCCCCTCACCCCAGCTGCTTCCAGCCTATCCTTCACCCGGTGAGCTCACCTTCCACAGAAGAGACAGCATCCTTCTGGAAGGAACTCCCTCAGCTACTTGAATAAAGCAGAGAAAACCTTAATACATCATTATTACCTGGAAGGTAGACAGTCTGCTCCAGGGAGGGGAGGGAGAGAGCTGTCCCTTCACTATCCTGTAGCATAAATACACCTGCTCCAGAGGAAGTCATGTCTGGAGCTGTCCCAGGCGACTGGCTTACGGCAACGCTCTCGGACAGAGGTGAGCTTCTGATGCTCGGATGCGTAGAAACGGGAGAGGTCTGTGGAGAACTGTCTCCCAACACACAGCAGACCCTCCCTCTCGCTCACACTCACCACCTCCACGGCCGGGAACTTTATCCCCTGAGAAAGCCTCGTTCTCCCGCTCGTGTTTCCTACCCTCCCAGTGGGACCAGCAGCCCACCTGGTGACAACGCCGAGTCCTTCCTGCTCCTGCGCCTTGTCGCTGGCATACCCTCTGCCTCCGACCCCCCTCACCCAGCAGAGTCCTCCCAGTCTTCAGGCTCCAGCTTGACTGCCATTCCCCCAGGACCCTTTTGCAAGCACACGCCAGCCCTCAGGGCTCTCTCCCCTCCGAGTGCCTCTAGCACTTGGCACATTCTCTGTCACACGCTGGCATTTTATAATTTTGACCCGACAGCTATTTCTCAAGTGCTTATTCTTTCTCTCCAAGTACTTTTGAAGACCCCGAGGGGAGGAACCACGTGGATATTTTTAGTATTCTCTCCACCCCAGTCCTTACACTAAGGCAACTCTGAGCACAGGGGAAGGGTCTTCCAGTTGCTTTGGGATTACCAATCCCTCTTGTTACTTTCTCGGTTCAGCCCATCCTTTGTACCCTTAATATCTATCAAATGGCCCTGTCCCCAACCCTAGCCTCTGACAGTGGTCCTTCCCCAAGAAAAAAGACAAATTCTACTTGTCCAAGAGCAGAAGACGAAGGAAAGCTCATTGTGGG